CTTTTCTTCACATGGCCCCTTTTAATTAATTATATTGACAATCATTGTATTGGTGTGTGGGGGAAGAAGTCTATGTATTAGAATGCTTAGCTGACAAACCAGCTGTATGTTCTTAACTGAGTTGTTTAACTTTTTGGTACCTCACTTTTTTCATGTGAAAATGGAAGTGCTTTCCTTTAAAGACCAGAATCTTGGTTACATATTTTTCGAGCCCCTATTTTTCCATAATCTACAATCACTGTGTTTCCTGCTGCTATTTAAAAGAGAATAATATGTGTCCCAAATACACTCTCTTCAGTAGAATTCCCTCTTCTCTTCAGAAAACTATTCTTGCAATGTAACATTTAAAATTATTTTCACCATTTAAGCTTCACTAAACAATTACTAAGTTTCATTGGAAGATCACAAAAACATCTCCAAAGAGCATGAAAGCATCTCAGAAAATACATTAACAATTTGGGTGGCAGTTTGAAATTAAGAAAATATATTAAAAGATATTGACAGAATAATGACATGATGTTTATTCCTATTTCATGAGATAAAAAATAAAACAAAAGCAGTCCCATTAGCTTTGCCAAAAATTAACAGAAAAAAAATGTATTGAATGCTTACATTTGAATCCGGTTGAAAAGCCGTATGTATTGATTCACTGTGAATCATTGACTTCACTTAGCTTTCGTGGTTTAGAAATCAAGAAACAGAGTTGTTTATGTATTTATTTATGTATGTATTTATTTTTACTTATTGCAGTGCTTCTTCAGTGTTTAAGGGCAACCAGAACCGTCATATTTAAGTCTGCATTGGGAACACACACGTGCACCCACACAAATATGCATACACATGCATGAGCACACATACATTGGGTGCATACATGAATATACATGTACACAGTCACATATACACATACATCCACACACATTCTGAGGTCTGTAGGACTCTTGGACAGCCTACCCTGCCTGTTGAGAGTCCTATTTTTATTCAGACCACCCTTAAAATTCCTAAAATGTGAAATATTATGTTATAGAATTACATGATTTTGATTTCTGCTGACAGCTTTTTTTTTCTTTTATTATTTTTTGCTTCTTTTAGGTAAAATCTACTTGCTTCTTGATGTGCCTAAGAATGTCAGCTGTATAATCAATATCTTTCATTAATGACTCTTGAAGTCTTGGCTCCTGAGCTATGTGGAAGAACACAGTTTATCTGAAAAATATAAAGAAAGCATCTAATATCATGCAGAGCAATTGCAGAGCAATGCAATTCGATTCAATTAGATAAAATTATAACACCATTAAACATCATAAAGCATGTCTGCCTAAGCAGCAACCTTCATTATTTGACTTTATTTACTGAGTGCCAGGCCCTAAACATCGTAATTCAGCATTTAGGAAATTGTGTGTATCCATTTTGTCTCATATCATGTGTAAAATACCCCATCTAGGACGCCTAGAGATTTCTCCTTCAAGAGAAGGAACCATTCCTATAATGCAGCTTTCCATGGCCTATAGTAGGCCCTTTTGGGAGGTTCCTGCTTTAACCGGGCTGTGTGATACTGACTAGTGCTTGGAGTCTTGACTTAGAGGGGAGATTTTGAATTTCTTTGTGATTTCTTCAACATCACAGGAGATGGAACCTTACATGCCTCTATATGCACGTATTCCATGGTACTTTCTTTCAGGAGCCACAGTGACATTATGGGTGAGCATTTCTTTAAAAATTGCTATAATTTCTTCAACAGGGGATTAAATGAGCTATGTTAACAGTGTTATCTGCAATGTCTCTTGAGTCCTTCCTTTCCCTCTCCCTCCCTGGTCTTTTTATCTTGGTTATAGCTCTTACACAAAATAAACTGTAATTTATAGGGATTTTCCATAATTAAACTTTGGGAAAAGATCTCAAGGAAGAGGAGATGCTTTGTCTTAAAGCCTGTCCCTCCCTGCCTCACAACACTTCATTTAAGTGATCACTTGAAATCAGGACAGAATAACAAACTTACTCTGATTCCAGACTCTTTGGTTAGTTTAGAAAAATCATGAATGTATCTTTATTTCCACTTTATTTCCTGCTCTTCCTTTTTCCAAATGTGTTCCCTCTTAACTGTTAATGTTTAATTTTAGGAAAACAGGCAGTGTTACCTTCTAAGGGGTTAGTTAGCATGTTGAAATATAAATAATTGACAGTTGTAGATTATAGTTTAGACTCACTAGTCCATAAACCCCATATGATTTACCTTTAACATTTCTTGTTAAAGATAAATCTATTATTTTCATATTTTAAAACAGTAAAAATATGTTTTCTTAGATTATGTAATAATCATTAAGGAGATGTGATAAAATAAAATGGGGAGAATCATTAATTCAGTACTCTCTTTTGAGAAATCTGGAGTATATCCCCAGAAAATTTTCTGGTTTTGATTTCTAGTTTTCATTTAATTTGACTCATTTCCTCAACTTTTAGAATAAAATTTCTAATGATTGATAGAAAGCCATCTTTGTGCTTTTGCAATATTGGAAGTGTACAAAATTTATACAGAATCTATATAAATTTCTAAACTACCAGGCATATTAGAGCACTAATGGCAATATTCTGAGGGGAAGTGAAATGCAATATTGGCATGTATTTTTCTTAGGAAAATAAGTGATCTTGATTCTACATCTTCAACTTCAATGTAGAGCATGCATCAGCAAACATTTTCTGTAAAGGAGCCATATATATTTTTGGCTTTGTGCCACATATAGTCTCTGGAACATAATTGCCTTTACTTTTCTCTATAACCTTTAGAAATGCCAAAGAAGGCTGGGCATGGTTGCTCACGCTTGTAATCCCAGCACTTTGGGAGGCCGAGGTGGGCAGATCACGAGGTCAGGAAATCGAGACCATCCTGGCTAACACGGTGAAACCCCGTCTCTACTAAAAATACAAAAAATTAGCCGAGTGTGGTGGCATCTACTAAGGAGGCTGAGGCAGGAGAATCGCTTGAACCCGGGAGGTGAAGCTTGCAGTGAGCCAACATTGCGCCACTGCACTCCAACCTGGGCAACAGAGCGAGACTCTGTCTAAAAAAAAAAAAATGCAGAAGAACATTCCTAACTTAAGGACCATATAAGATCAGGCAAGGCCACAGGCAGGATTTGGCCTTCTACTATAGGTTGTCACTCCCTACTAGAGAATAAGCCTAGAGGATGAACAATGAAGACGTTTCTTTTAGACTTAACCAGCAGCTAGTATATGCCTTATCTTTAACCCTTTTACCTTGCCAGTGTTCACATCTTGCCATCTAGGGAAAGAGAGACTGACTTAGTTTGCTTTGCACATGAGACCTGCTAAACTTCATATAATGAGGTTAACAGAATAATCAATATGTTAGATATGTATTCCTAACAGAGATGCAGAGACCCAAATAGCAGTTCTTTGTTTTCCTTTCCCAGATGTCTCTTGTCGTCACCAGTATGGTAGCTGTAATTGTGTATCGCCTGTCAGTCTTTGCTACACTTGCTAGTTTCATGGAAAGTGATGCATCCTTAAAGCAGGTCAAAAGCTTCCTTACTCCTCAGATAACCACATCACTCACAGGATCATGCTTGAACTTTATTGTCATCTTGATCTTGAATTTCTTTTATGAAAAGATATCTGCGTGGATCACAAAAATGGGTAAGCTCGCCAAATCATTAGTGTGATTCTGAAGAATGATTCTTATTGATGCTATATGTCTATTTTGGATCAGCTCCCCAGGAGTTCATTTTCAAAGGGTACCTTTTAAGGCAATTTTTCTCTATAGGTAGACTCATATCTGCTATTAAGAGCCACAATTCAAGGTCCATTATAACGGAAGCAGCAAAAAGAACTGGAAAAAAAAATAAGAATTTGGACTCTATTTATCTTTCTGAGTATTCTTGTCTTAATTCTCCCTTGATGGGTCTAGCTGAATCCTAAGAAAAATAATCACTTTACTGAAGACACAGATAATTGTTATTTCATGTGTATGGTTCTTAGAAAGTATTGATTTTGGAAGTTATTCTGAAAAAACGGAAAAGTCAGCTTCTCCTAAATAAATCTAAATTTTAGTGCTTTTCTTTTCTACTGCCATCTCATAGAACTTGGATTATTTTCTTGTTAAAATATTAAAATTTCTACTTAAATCCACAAGGAAAGTAATCGAAAGGGATCACAGGTTAAGTGAGAGATTGAGTTAGGTAGAGCAGCACAGAGCACAGTCGTTTTTGCTCTTTTTCCTGGCAAGTTAGCAGTAAGATCGGAGACTCAAATCAAGGCATCAGCCTCTTCTCTGAGTGTTCACTCCAGGGCTCAAGCTCCTTTGAATCTGTTGTACATAGGCATCATGGCTGATGTCAAGCAAAAGACCACATTATTCAGTCAGCGCTGGAATGAGCACTGAGATGAGACTTTCATTATATACTATCTTCAAACTTGGAGTTCTCTCTCATTTTTACTTCTGCTGTCAACAGTGAGAAAATCACAGCAGATAAATTGCTTTTAAAAGCACCTAAAAACTCACTATTTTCCTCAGTGGGGAAAAAAAAAATCATTCAAGTTCACATTACAAGTTTTGTAGGAATACAGCTACATTTCACTAAAATGGGGGAGTTATCTGTGTCTTTAAAATATTTTGTGATACTTTCAGTATTGCTGAAAATGTCATGATTTGGCTGGATCAGCTCATGCTACTGGGAGATCATCAGCTCAGGAAAACATACTTTTCTACATTTTTGTGCTTCATGACCCTCTATTGCAGGGTGAAGATAATTTAATAGTTTGTTATCTTTAGAATTCATTAAATGACAGATCATGCTCATGCATTTTAAATAAAGGAGAGGGAAAATGTGTACTATTTCTGCCACTATTTGCTAATCATATTATTTTCAAAATTAATATAGCCATTGAATTCATGAGAGGGCAACACAATTCTGTTGGAAATCATCCCTGCCCTTGACGTGATCTTATTTTCTTCAAACCTGATTGTAAACAGATGAGTTCTAGTGGCTTATAGGATAGCAGATAGTGTTTGGAGATGAGCATAAGTTTCTTATTTGGTGTATTATTTTGTTTTCTTATTTGGTGTATTAGTTCGTTTTCACACTGCTATAAAGATACTACCTGAGACTGGGTAGTTTGTAAAGGAAAGAGGTTTAATTGACTCACGGTTCACATGGCTGGTGAGGCCTCAGGAAACTTAACAATCATGGTGGAAGGTAAAGGGGAAGCAAACACCTTCTTCATAAGGCAGCAGGAGAGAGAGAGAGTACATGGGGAAGTGCCACACCTTCAAACCATTAGCTCTCAATTGGCCGGGTGTAGTGGCTCATACCTGTAATCCCAGCCCTTTGGGAGGCCGAGGCGGGCGGATCACAAAGTCAGGAGTTTGAGACCAGCCTGGCCAACATGGTGAAACCCTGTCTCTACTAAAAATACAAAAAAATTAGCCAGACGTAGTGGCACACGTCTGTAGTCCCAGTTACTCAGGAGGATGAGGCAGGAGAATTGTTTGAACCTGGGAGGCGGAGGTTCCAGTGTGCCAAGATCGCACCACTGCACTCCACCTGGGTGACACAGTGAGATTCCATCTCAAAAATAAATAAATAAATAAAACCATGAGCTCTCTTGAGAATTCACTCAACACCAAGAGAACAGCATGGGTGAAACCACCCCCATGATTCAATGTCCTCCCACCAGGTCCCTCCCTTGACACGTGGGAATTACAATTTGACATGAGATTTTGCTTGGGACAGAGTGCCAGACCATATCATCTGGGTTTGAATTTCAAATTCTGTGTAACCCCAAGACAAGAATGCTGTCTCTCTGACTGTGGTAATAACAGCTTCCTAGGCTTTTCCAGTGGTTAGTTTAATACAAAGTGTATAACAGAAAATCTAACACAAATCTGTAGTTACTTGATGTTCACTTGTCCCAGGGAGTACGAAGTTCAAGGAAAAATAAGAAGATGCACTGAACGATTTTTTTTTTTTTTTTTTTTTTTTTTTTACTTAATAGAAATTCCTCGAACATACCAGGAGTATGAGAGCAGTCTTACCTTGAAAATGTTCCTGTTTCAGTTTGTAAATTTTTACTCATCCTGCTTCTACGTAGCTTTCTTTAAAGGGAAGTTCGTAGGCTATCCCGGAAAATACACATATTTATTTGATGAGTGGAGAAGTGAAGAGGTAAGAATTTCCTTGAGAGGTGAGGTGAGGTGTGCAGCTTCAATACCTCAGTATTAACCACTTTCTGTGTGCCAAGCACTGATTCGCATGCTAAAAAATTACAAAAGATACCTAGACACTGACTGTATCCATAGAGAGTATTGTTCACAGATGAATCCTGTCATTTGATAAACTTCTCAGTTTATTTTTGAGCAAGAAGTTACATTTTGCCTATGGTTTGGCAGTAAAATATGAGACATAAAATGACATAAAGTCTTTATTCCTAAAAATTTCCTGCAAGGGAAGACTGATTACTTTCTGTAGAAATGGTACTACTATAGGTAGTAGAGTTAGAACAGATCCATGGTTTCCAAATTTTGGAGAATGGAAGATATAACAACTCCCAACCCTAACCCAGATATAAAGACTTAGAATTTTCTAAGAATGAGATCCAGAAATCTGTGTTTTTTAACACAGTTCACAGATGAATCTAATGCAGCTAGCCCGGCACTGGTCTGTGATCAGGTTTGGAGCTATTGGACTAAATATCTCTTAACCCTTCCAACCAAAACCTCGAGATTCTAATCTTATGGTTTAGGGTTTCCTTTAGATGTTGCAAATTTCTATCTTTTTGATCATTCAATTCTGTTTTCTCCCGTCTTGCTTCTGACTAGTGTGATCCTGGAGGCTGTCTTATAGAATTGACAACGCAACTGACCATTATAATGACCGGAAAACAGATTTTTGGAAACATTAAAGAAGCCATTTATCCGTATGTATGACTTACAAGCTTTTTATTTGATTTAAGTAACCATGAGAGATTTCCTCTGGAACAAGATGGAATTTTTTGATTATCATGATGCCTTTGTTAGAAAATGTTTAAGCCAAAAGAAAGCTTTATTTTTAATCAACAGTGAAGGTTGCATTAAGGTAATATAAACTCTTATTTTTATTTATTTATTTATTTTGGTTCCATGGCTGGCAAGGTTTTAAAAATTTATTTCACAAATAATAATTATCTGTATTTATGAGGTACAATATAATGTTATGAATACAATCTTTTAAATGTGCATTTTTGTTACTTTTCTCTCCTGTGAAGATTTCACTGGGACATCTAAATGCTATATCCTCTGCAGTTTATTCTACACGCTGTGTATTATTTCTGGATATTACTAAAAGGTGAACTTTGTAAAAATATCCATGTGTCATGCAATCTAGACATAAAAATAGATTGTAAATGAAATGATGGAGACTTTCAGGTCAATACATGAAAGATTGCTCTCTGATCAAAACACAGCAATAATGAATACATTATAAAAAGAGAAAACTAAACTGACAATTTATCTCAAATAGTGGATGGACATTGTCATGGATAAAAAGAGAAAGAATTATAAAATCATAAGTCTACGATCCTGCACGGCTCCTAGTTAGGAAATGACTGTGTCGGGGCTTGGTATGCAATATAAAGTGGAGTAAAAGTGCTCCACTTAATACAGCGGCTCATCCAGTTTAACTGCACTTGAAGCCAGAGACTGGGTTTATTCTCACTCATGAAAGAAGATTGAAAACACCATCCCTGCACCTTCCCACCTCCAATATATACACAATTTCATAGTGCCACTCAGGGCTCTATTTCAAGTACTAACAAAAGAAGAGCACGGACTTATCCTCACAAATGGCAATAAATGTGAGCCTAACCTTCTAGTTTCATGCTTAGATATACCACATCCATAAGGGAAATAGCCAAACCTTTTTTTTTTTTTTTTGAGGCAGAGTCACACTGTGTCGCCCACACTAGAGTGCAATGGTGCAATCTCAGCTCACTGCAACCTCCGCCTCCTGGGTCCAAGCAATTTTCCTGCCTCAGCCTCCTGAGTAGCTGGGATTACAGGCACACATCACCACACCCAGCTAAGTTTTTGTAATTTTAGTATAGACAGGGTTTCACCATGTTGACCAGGCTGGTCTGGAACTCCTGGCCTCAGGTGATCCACCCGCCTCAGCCTCCCAAAGTGCTGGGATTACACGCATGAGCCACAATGCCTGGCCCCCAAACTTTTATTTTAAGTTCTAGCTCTAGATTGAGAACCCGGAGGACTGAATGGAGGCAATACCGAAACCAAACAGAAGATGAGGGATACATATGCACAGAGAGGGAGAGAGACAAAAGACAGGGGAGGTAAAAGAATAATAATAAAAAAAAATTAACAACAAAAACCCTGAGCTTTCCTAATAACCAGAATTTCAAAATGTGATGATATTTAATGCTACAAAGGCTGTGAACAAAATCAATTATTAGAAAGCGAACTTACTCCAGCTGATATTTCTAACTAGAATATTCTAGCAAAGCCCTTAAAAAATGATGTTGATAATACTAACAACATAAGGGAAGGTGATACTGTCATTAAAACAGATAAGGAAATAAATAAAAATGGACAGAAATGAAATAAGAATAAGTAAATATGAAATGGAAGCAATTGCACATACGTGAAAAATTATACTTTAAATAATGAATACAATAGATGGGAAAATTCCAGAGTACAATTCCAGCCTGGACATGTTTGAAGAATGTATTAGTGAATTGGAAAATAATAGTGAGAAATACCTACCTTATACAGTGTAACAAATATATGACATTTAATAAAAATAAAATAAGGGTATGTTAGATTAAGAGGCTTCCACATTAATCTACTAGTAGTTCCAGAAAAAGGTAATTGAGTGAATGGTGAAGGAAAAAAATATTTGAATAGGTAATTGCTGAACATTTTTCAAAAACGAGGAAAAACACAAGTTTCAGAAATGGAAACAAATTCTGAGTATGAATCAAGATACTAGAATTCAATTCAAGACAATATAATTCAGTTCACACCCTGATTCATTATGGTGAAACTACAGAACACCAAAGATAAACCGACAATCTTTAAAAATCTTAGATGAAAAAGGTTAACTTTATTCAAATGAATGTCGTCTATACTATCATCAGCTTCTCATCAATAGCATTAGATGCCAAAAGATAGTATTTTCAAGGTTCTCAGTGAAAATAATGTTCCCTTTTCATTTCTAGAACCAGGTTAACTATTATTTACAGTGCTGGTAAAATAGACATTTTTAGACATGAAAAGACTAGGAGAGTTTGCATGTATAGATTGTCATGGAAAGAACTACTGAAAGATTTTCTTAAGCAAAAGGAGATCACAAAGTGAAAGTACAGGATGGAAGAAACATTGGTTAGCACAGAATTTGTTAGCTCCAAACAAATGAAATAATTTTGTAGAATCTAAAATCATATAGAATTTGTGTAGGGAGAACTATAAAATCTTAAAGAAATTTTAAAACTATATAAATGGTGAGAAATATCATGTTGGTGGTCAATTATCCCCAAATTGATATATCGCTTTATTGTTGCTATGATCAAAATATCAGCAGAATTTTTATAGGTATAGACAAGTGGGTTCTAAAATGTATATGGAAGGCCAATTAACTAAAATAACCCAAAGAAGTATGATAAAAGAAGAATAAAGCTGTAAGAAATACCCTACTCAATTTGAACGCTTACTAAAAACTATATTGATCAAGACAATGTAGGGTTGGTGGAGGGATAGTTATTTAAACCAGTGGAACGGAGTAGAGATTGTAGAAACAGCTATTGCAGAAATTTGTGCTCTAGCCAAACAGGACCATTTAATTTAAGACAGGTGCAAGAACAATTCATTGATGAAAGAGTAGGCTTTTTTGTAAATGGTGTTGGAACAATCGGACATCCCATGTGCAAAATAATAAAAAGCTATGTGAAACTTACACCTCATTCATAAATGTACTCAAAATGGATCATAGACAAAACTAGTTTTTAAAAAAGCAAGGAAGTGATTATTATAAAATTTAAGATAATGGCTATGGACGTGGGGATTGAAGAATTTATAAATGGAATGAAGCACATGAAAGAGCTTCTGAAATTTCTAGCCATGTTCTCTTTCTTGAACTGGATGATCTCTTTTCCACTGTGACTTCAGTTACAGTATGCTCATCTGTTTGATAGTGTCTCAGAAATCACAGGTGCTTTTTCCTCTTTACATCATTCATTTTTCCTCTTTGTGTTTTAGCTTGCGTATAAGCAATATATAAATGTTCCTCTTAATCCACATTTGCTATAGTACTTCATACTGTCTTATTAATTTTTGTCAACTGGAGGCCATAAATGATATCTCATTTTAGTATAATTTTTTCTGATTAACAACACGAATAAGCATTTTTGGCCATATTTGTTTCCTTTTCGATTAAATGCTTGTTCATGTTGTTTAACCATTTTCCTACTTGTCAATCTTTTTTTCAATTTATTTCTATGAATACTTTTAAACTTCTGGTTACTGGTTTTTGTTTATTTGCTTCTTTTTTGGTTGTATATGTTGAAAACATTTTATTCTAAGATAACAGTCATCTTTTTATTTTTTAATAGTATGTTTAGGTCACAGTGTCACAACCACAGAATTATTGATATAATTCTTAGCTGTGGGGTACGGGTTATCCTTTGCATTGTAAGATGTTTAACAGCATCTTTGGACTCTATCCACTAGATGCCAGTAACCCATCCCTCTCCAGTTGGGACAACCAAAATATCCTCAGAGAGTGCAATTGTGTCATTGTGGGCAAAATTACTCCCAGTTGGAAACCATTGCTTTAGATGAACAAAATTACATAACTTTAATATGGTAGAATTTATCAGTCTTTTATTTTGTGGGTTAGCATTTTTAAACAATTGTTTAAGAAATATTTTCCTACCCGGGATTGTAAGACATTTTCATTATTATTTCCTATATCTGTTAAAGTTATGCCAAAAGTAAGGTTCTGGGCAAAATACTGGATATACAGATGTACTGATAAAAAGTTATATGGAAACACACAGACATATACAAAGATATTCTCATATACTTACTTCTAAATTTTTTATACATTCTAACATTATTGTTTTTCACTTTCAAATTCTAAATACATATGGACAGGATTTTTATGTTTGATATGAGATACAAGTCTATTTTGTACATATATGTGTATATATCTATAAACTATATATTGTATAAACCCTTATATTACCATTTATTGAAAAGTTCCTTTTTCCTGTGCTCCATCATCTAGAATACTATTCATCCACATACAATATTATCTACAATACTTTTTATGCCGTATAAACACTATCCACATGCCATATAAACACTATCTACAAGCCATATAAATACTGTCTACAATTATACCAAGTGCAAGGCTATTTCAAGTTTTCCATTCTATCCCAAGATTTGTTTATCCCTGTACCAGTACAGCAATCTCTCTCT